TTGAATATTAACGTTTAAAAATATTAGCTCTTTAATTTTAATTATTTTTAATTATATCAAACATTTTAATATAATTCGAATTATTTGAATTATTTTGCATTCATAGTTCATAGTAATTTATCTTAATCTGTTTTGAATTATTTCAAATTATTTTACGTAATATTGCGTAATTTCTTGTGTAATATTGTGTAGTAATATTTCGTAATTTTATATTTCGCAATATTGCAAAAGTTATTACATAATATTACAGTTAGGGATCCAAATCGGTTTGAAAATCTAAAACCGTCAACCGTTAAGTCAAAACCGGTTATCAACCGACTACCCGCAATTAAAACTGATTACAAATTAAATCGGGTAACCCGGGTACCTGATTAAACTGGGTAATACGAATACCTATTTATTTCAGGTGATTCAAATATACAGATAATACAGATGCCCAGTAAATCTGAATAACCTAGATACACGCTTATTTAACAACTTAAAAAAAAAACTCACTTTGATTCAAACATAAAATCGTACAGTTTTAGTTTCACTTAGCAAAAGTTTAACTGCAAACAAATTTGTTTTGTTTTTTAAGGTCATAGCCAACGTGTAAAGAAAGCCTTAATCTATATAACTTCTAATACACTATACCTAATTCCAACTTAAGTACAGATACTACCAATGTAATAACAGTTATAGTAAACTCAATATAATAAGCATTCGATATAGTCTATATTAAAGAAATTTTTTTTAGTTCAATGGCTTTATAATAAAGAAGAGTCACCTATAGTTGAGTAAGCAATACCTACTTGTTGTTTTATCAATTTTTAGTACTTTTTCATTTTTCATCGGTCAGGTTTACTAAATAACAGACTATAAGTAAAAAACCTTATTAGGTGTATTCAAAATTGAACAATTAATATCTGAGTTAAAAATAACATGTGCGATAGATAAAGCCTAAAAAGTATTAAATGAGAGAATTAATTACTATAAACTAAAGTATATTTAGATACGTATAAGAAATATATAGAGTAGAAATTTTTATCTAATATAGACAAGAAACCTGTCAATAATTTTAATGCTACGTATAACTAGAATTTTCTTATCGTTATTAAATGCATTTTTTTACATAATTATTTTAACTATTGATATGATTGTTTGTTATATATCTATTATGTAATGCAGCTATTTTTAATTATTACAGACAAAAGAGGTGTGGCGACTTAGTGTAGTGGTCTAGTCATCACCCTCTCCAAGTGGCAGGTCTAGAGTTCAAATCCCACAG